GGGGGGGGGGGGTGGAGCGTGTGTTGTGTATATGAGTTTTTATACTTACAGTAATTTGGGAAATTGCAAGTATTTGGTTTTGGGACACAAAATTCGAAGTTGGAATGCAAATTTTTTAGTCAGTATCATTTATTAATGTTTTTATTTATACATAATTATATAAAATGTTATAAGGGTTTTACTTTATTTATTTATATTTTGAGATGAAAAAAAATACATTGATCTTTTATGCACAATATTAAACATACGAATTAAGATAGAGACATAATCGTATTTCATGAATGAATAATTGTGTGTTTATTGTGATATTTTTAATTTCAGATGGTAAATTTAATATGAAAGGAAGATATATTGTTTTTGTATAGTATAAATGTAAATATGATAAAAAAGAATGATTAGTGTGATCGAATGAATGTGTCTGATCATCACTATATTTCGTATGTATGTGCATAAGATTCTTGCATGTAACATTAATATATGGACACAGAGAGGAGATTAATATGTAAAAATGATAAAAGCAAATGTCTTGAATTATTAAAGTCACATAAAGATAATCTAAAAATTAATTTTAAGAGAGCAATCGATACGATCAATATAATAATACAAGGCATCTAAGCATTTTATTTCTGTATGTCTTGTATAATAATATATAATTAATAAAGATAAGACACTATGAGAATTGTTTTATTTATTGAATAATAAATTATTTTAAATAAACTAGATTTTTATACATTTTTATCAATACAATCAGTGTGTAATTATAAAAATTACTTTATTATAATTAAACGTTATGGATTTAATACATATGAAATTGATGACTTAAATTTAGTACTCAAAATATGTATAAGATGCCTTGTTATCCAAGTAGTGTAGTTTCTAAACTGAGAGGAAGGAGAGAAAGACTATCTCTGAAAAATAAAAATTCAGAGGAATGTCAGATTAATTAAGTTGCCTCGTAAATTGTTAAATTGCTTCTTGTTTGATAATCTTTCAGTATTTTTACTGTTACTTTCAGAAAAGATCTGTTAAATTAAATTGATGATCAGCTCGGGAGATACGAATAATATTCCTCTAAGAGTTTCAGATTATAAGACATAGAGAGATGAAGGATATAATACATAGTTAATATTAAAATGTTGATTTCTTTATGTACGTGTAATTGAATCATCATAATGCATGAGAGTTCTAATAGCATGAAAATTATTTTACTTAATAATATTTATATGCCTTTTGAAATGAATAATCCTCTCAAGTTCTCTAAAAATACGCAGATTCAGTTAAAGTGATAAAGAACGTATGTCAAAAGAGTGTTTTACAGAATTTAGAGCTTGCAATCTCTCTCTTTGTAGCTATTAATAGCGTCTATATATTTTCCGTTCTTTTAATCCTGATTTTCTGTAGTTTTTATTTGAAATTTTATTATGACATAGATTGTGAGCATTTGGTGAAGTAATATCTCTTTTATTTCCTTTGTATTTAATCCTAGGATAGTTTCTTTATCAATGGACAATGAAATATTTGATAAATTTGTTTTCTTAAGCTTGTTTTTTCTTTTTTTTTTTTAGATTTTAAGTATGTTCTTAAATGTACAAATACAAATAAAAACCCTTTATAATTTATAAAATATTAACGATGACGTGTGTCTAGAGAAGACTTAATAAACGATATAACAAAGCAACTTTATATTATATCAAGATATGTTTATTCAAGTGCTTTAGGAATTTTGTAGATTACTAAATGTAGTGTCCGACACTTATTAATGTAATTGTTTATATTTTTAATCTTTTTATTTTATCTTCATTTAATTTGTTATTATTAAATAATATTCTTGTGCTGCATATAAAGCAATATACATATGGAATTACAGTGGCTGTAAAAAAAATTATAAGATACATACATTTTTATAATGGCACATTTTTACATATGTGAATAGTTATTAATAAATATAAATTGAATATAAAATGATCTAATGATAATTATTTTCTGCAATAAAATGATTATTATAATAAGATATAATTTATTATAAATATTTTTTGAATTTAAGAATGTTTGAGACAGGCAATATAATTATTATATTTATTTGAAAACATAATGCAAATCTCTTGCTCACGGCAAATGTATAAAATCATAATAGCTGCTTGAATTTATATTTTGTTTTGAACACTCTATTTTTTATTATATAGTAATTCCTAAAATTTTTGCGAGTACCTAATCAAGTTTGAATGAATCTCACCTGCTTTTTGTATGATTTTTTTGACATATAGCTGGCCTGACTGAGGTGATTATCTACAGCTCACCAGATGACAAAAAGAAGAACAGAGGTTTTTGTTTTTTGGAATACGAATCTCACAAAGCAGCTTCCTTAGCCAAGCGAAGGTTGAGCACTGGACGTATTAAAGTTTGGGGATGTGATATTATTGTCGATTGGGCCGATCCTCAAGAGGAACCAGACGAACAAACCATGTCCAAAGTAAATGAGTGATAATCAAATTTAATTATTTTCTAAGATGTCGAAGTAATAGCCAAATGTGAGCCAACACGGATGTTGGTGTGAAATAATTTTTATTATTACAATATCCAGCCACACACAAACTGCGCGCCACATTTTTGTCGGTCTTAAAACACAGTTTTTCTATGAAGGAATTCATTGTAACGAATTAACATAATTATACATAATTAACATGATAATTTGACAAGAAATTTTTGATTCTAATAAGCATCTATAAGAATTTCCTCTTTCAAATCTGTAAAGAAATTTTTTGCGAAAAATATTACTTCAATCAGGATTCCGGCTTCATAGAAAAACTGTTTTAAGACCAACAAAAATGTGGCACGCAGTTTGTGTGTGATTGGATATTGTAATAATAAAAATTATTTCACCAACATCCGTGTTGGTTCATATTTGGCTATTTGACATCTTAGATTTATTCTTGAGATCCTGATGTCTCTCTAATTTACTTTTGATTATTTTCATCATATTGTGTTATTGTTCTACCATTCTTGTGTTAGTTGAACAAATTATTAAAAAATCGTTTTGTTTTAGGTACGTGTACTTTACGTACGCAATTTGACGCAAGATTGTTCTGAAGAGAAGCTGAAGGAAAGCTTTGAACAGTATGGTAAAATTGAGCGAGTGAAAAAAATCAAGGATTATGCTTTTATACACTTTGAAGACAGAGATAATGCTGTTAAGGTAAAAAGTATACTTCAAATTGCATTCGATTTAATTAATTTTACACAATAAATATTCATTTTAAATATTTGTATGTGTTTTCTTAAGGCAATGAACGAATTGAATGGTAAAGAAATGGGTGGATCCCACATAGAAGTTTCACTGGCAAAACCACCATCCGATAAGAAGAAGAAGGAAGAAATGCTGCGCGCTAGGGAAAGACGAATGATGCAAATGTTACAGGGTAGAGGCGGGTAAGCTCGACATTTTATTTATTTTTAATTTTATATTTTTAATTTTAATCCGCAGTACGTGTGTATCATTATATACTCCTATTGTCAGTTGCATTATTTCATTTATTTGCAATTTAAATTAAAGGCATTATATAGTTTCCCCTTTTCCAGTGGATCTCCGTCTCATCCGAGCATGATGGGAGGACCAATGCCAGTTCGTGGGCCCGCACAGGGACCTCGGGGCACCGGTGCAGGTATGCGTGGACAGATGGGACGAGGCGATTATGGTTAGTACCAATTTCAATTCTTTTCTTTCCTGCTACACTGTTTTGTGTATTTTTTTGATAACGTCCTAATAGAACAGCAACTTTAATTTTTGTACTAATAAAAATTACAATAACTAAAAATTACAATATACACGCGCTTATATAATTTTGTTTCTCTTAAGTAGTAACAATTTCTATTTAAACGTAAAATATTTCTCTTAATATTACTATTGAATTATTTGTTATGCTTGGATCATAGGTTATTTAATCGAGACATACTAATATAAATAATAGTTAATAAAATTAGGATATATCAAGATAATATTAACATTTCATATTCTTATATAACTTTTCGCATATGAAGTGATAAGAATACTTTGCAAATAAATAAATTATTAATTATAATTTTAGAGATTATAGAAGTTTTGCCGTTAAAAATTATAAAGTGTTATTAAAATGTATGTTGAATTTATGTATATGAATCATGTATATATGTAACTTTTGCTAACAAAGTATATAAAAATTCATGAGAAAATAACAATTATATACATATAATTTTTATATTAAGTATACGTAATTTTTCTTTTTTTCATAATATAATTTCTCGTTTGATTTTTATTTATCTTAGGTTGAAAATATTTAGTATATTAAATAGTTGTGTATAGATATTAGTATTTTTTGTAATAATTACACAAGATAAACATCCGCATGCTTTTGGGAATTTTCATTATCTCATTACATACCTTGGCTTACGCGCATGATAGATTATTTTGAACGTGTGAGTAAGAAATATTGAGCATTTCCATATTATAATTTTTTTTATCAGAATTTTTTTCTTTTTGACCTTAATCAAAATTATTATTATTTTTTCATTATCCTTTGATTACATCTTATATCATTTTTTTGTTGTAAATATACCTCGATATAAGAATGGCAAATTGATCAAATCTATAAATAATTATAAATTATTTGATAGATATATTTTTTTAGATATATTCAGAATAGAATCATTTGTTAGATATATATTTAGAGATTATCAGTCTTTTCATAAATAAATTTATAAAAATATTTTTGTATAAATTGTGTGACATGTAAAAACATGTTATATCATGAAATATAATGAAATTATTTTGGCATTTTAAGAACGTTTAAATGCAAATTATTTTATGAGGTTGTAGTGAGAGATTATTATGTAAATCATTAAATCGTAAAATGAACTTGCACAATTTATTTGTAATTTATTATATTTGGTCTGATTGTGAGTCTTTTTTGAGATATTTAAATAACGCATTTTTTAGTTTTCTTGAATGATTTTATTTAATTACGCAAAAATGACGTTACGCAAGAATTATGTTTATCACAATTACATATTGTTAATCTATATTTATTGTTAGTCTATCTGTATTATATTTGTTACATCCGCATACACATATGTATATGAATACATATATGTATATTAGATATGTGCTTTTAGCATTTTGTGTAATATGAACACCTTATTGCCTTACCACTGCCATTCCCTGTGATACTGATTCCTGTTTCTTTTTTTAACCAAAAAATAATTGCATGTATATTTTCTTATTTGTTTTGTACTTTTGTTTGGTGCCTCAGTGAGAATTATTTTCTGGTAGTGCACAGAATATCACATGCATCGCCAAGGATAGTTTTTTATATAATTTTTTTTCGTTTATTTGTGTTTACGTGAACGTGTGTAAACCTCGTGTACCTAGTACGATGCATCATCAATTCAAAAATCTGTTTACAGCTCTCCAGGAAATAGGTAAGCCGTGATGATGAATGATGAATGCAACAGTTGTAAAGTATCATATGTAGTCCTGTGTATTTTCTTCCTTTTTTATTTAACTTTATAATTAATGCCCAATTTAAGTAGGTACATATTGTGAGGTCATCGAAAATGAAGCTTTTCTAACGAAATTTATAAAATTTTTTTATAAGCTATTGTGTCAAATATTGTTTAAATTGTAGAATAATTATATTTTTTCTTTGTTTTTATAAGTGTCTAGTAAAATGTCTTTATGAAATTTAAAAGATTAGAAATCACAAGATTTTGCATATACAAGTTACTTTTATTGCTAAATAAAGTTATTTTTTAAATATTTGTTAATTAGTATTTAAAATATTTTATATTCATTTTTTTTTAATTATTTTAGATTTGACATGAGTAATATCTTTTATCCGAATGTATCGTATTTATCTGGAATAAATGTGAAATTTTTGAATGGCCTTGCAATTTTCTATCTCAGGAAATGTGATGGTGGTAGGGTAATCAGTACGCGGTTTTGTGCGATATTTGTGTATACTGAGTGTTTTTATAATTATTTTCTTCTTTTTAGTCGAAACCATATTTTCCACGCAAATATTTTATTCTTGATATATGATTAAATTTATTTTTGTTTTTCCTTCTCTTTTATTTCTATTATATTGGCATTTTCCAAATTATCTTTTCCCGGCATGCCTTTCTTATAATATTGAAATAGTATTATTATATCTCAGTAAGTTGTCAATTGGATATATCGTGGCTAAATTTGGGTCTATTTGTAATGTGTGTTTTTATAGATTATGATTACGACTATTACGGTTATGGGGATTATCGAGGTGGCTACAGTGATCCCTATTACGATGACTATTATCGATACGAAGATTACTATTTCGATTATGCGCCGCCTCCGCCGCCTGCCAGAGGGAGAGGCAGGCAGCCTCAACCGGTGGGTCGCCTTTTTTAATGGTTCTAAAAAGTCGTTTTCGTTCCTGAAATCATTATTATTTTTTATACCAGCAGTAGTTTGACTGTGGCACAGTGTTCGCGGATTCTCCTAATATTTCGTATTTCTCTCCAATTTTTTCGTCCAGATCAACATCTGTCCATATATTTTCTCTGTCTGAGCGTGTAAATTAACGCTGGCTAATTGGGTATGCGCTAGCTTTAGTACAATCACATTATTAACGCGTAGGGAGATGTACATCTTAATATAATCCTGATTTTATTATATTAAATGCACTACATCCACAGTATAGTACTTACCCGAGCTATAAAATTTTTAATGAATCTAGAATGAGAGAGAGTAAGAGGGAGAGGAAGGGGCGAGAGAGAGAGAGAGAGAGAGAGAGAAAGAGAATGCTATTAAGAGTGCATTATGAATGTAATATACTTATATAGACCCTACATGAATCTATACTGTACTAACATCAAGCTTCAATACTACTAAGATTAGACCTTGTAATCCGAACACATTGCCACTTTCAAATTGCTTGCAAATCATATCTGAGCCATGGTAGACCCATTCTAAATTTTCAAGCAAGATACAGCCGGGAAAAGCAATTTAACTAAAAAACATAAAAAAGAGAATAAAAGAAAAAAGAAGACATGCAGATTAAAAACGGAAATCTCAAGATAAATATCCATAAACCCTCCCAAGGAAGAAGATCACACATTTTATAGTGTTGCAGGATCCCCTAACACTATTTCATCGCCACTATTATTCTAGCGCAGCTTTCAGGAGAATTCCAGATATAGGCAGAAAGCAGTATACAGGACTTTTTATATATATCGTCGTTGTCCTTTATATATTATATTACAGTCTCTATGTACGAGTAATTTATCTATTTTTTTTCGTAGAGCGACGTTGCGTCTCGTGGCTCGGATATGATGTTACATTTTTTCTATGTCAAGTTGCAGGGTTATCCAAACATGACAAAAGGGAGCGCATGGGCGCTCTGCGCGAAAAAATTTACTTTATTGTTTCATTTTTATTATATTTTTAATTTATTGCGATCAACTTTTTCTCTTGGCAGTGTCTTGCTATTGCGATAACACATGACATGTGCACTTAGGTTTCTTATATGTTATCCGATGTTTCTATGTCCGTGCTATATGATGTATACATGTAGTTAGTCCCGTCGCTTTAGAGAAGAGATAGACAAACGAGGAGGATTTTTTTCGAATTGTCTTCGCATTATCTTGCGCTTTTTTCTAACATTAATTTTGCTTTTTTATTATTTATTTTGGACGTAATCCCAATTGTGTTCGACGATTCCGTTTTCCTCTTTGAGGAAGTGCACTTAATCTCTTCCATATTCTTTTTTGATATTTATAAATTACGATTTATCATTTTCATTTTACTGTATTCGTACGATCCGATATTCACATATAATGTTTTTTTGCTTTAATTTTCATTTTTTTCTTTCATGAATGTTTACCATCAAATTGTCATCATATTACGTACATCTCTTTCGTTATATATAGCATTATTAGATCTCCTCTTAAAAAATGAGAAATATTAATCTTTTAGTCAATTTCTTTGTAATCAAAAATTTTAATCTAAATTGAGAATGCAGATAATGATGGGTAAGAGAACAAAATGAAATTTCTCTATTGTTTTTTTTCTAATTTGAGACTAAATATTATTTTTTTTTCTGTATTAGTTCTGTATTGTTCAATTATATTGGTGTAAATGATAACACCATTGCATCGAATTCCTTAATTCAGTTTCTTGCAGGAAAAAATTCAGATTAACTCTACCACTTTTATTATCCTGTATGTAAAGGAACAGCCACTCAGTGAACCATGTACATATGTGCTATCAAATATACAGAATGTCTGGTAATAACTGCACAGAAAAATCCTTTAATGATTTTCGCAATAATTAATAAAAAATTAATTATTGCCAGAATTGCTAAAATGAGGATATTTCTATTTATTTTAATTTTTTTTCTGCGCGCGCGCGCGCGCGCGCGCGACACACACACACACACACACACACACACACACACACACACACACACACACACACACACACACACACACACACACACACACACACACACACACACACACACACACACACGAGCTAATACAGTTATTAAACAGACATGTTAACTATCTGATAAATTGCATATACATGGATTATCTTGATTTTTGAAAAATTAAACTCAGTTTAATATCCCAATTTTATTTTTATTACGCAGGAGGAAAAGTTTGTCGCAAATTATAAACAGCAATATTGGAAGTAAGGAATGATAAACGTCATTCAAATCAATAATTTATTTACAAATGATTTGTCGTATATGTGTCACGTGACGATTAATAATACTTATTAATAATATTTTGTTACTTGTACATTGAATTGTGCGTAGGTATGATAAAGACCACGGATATAGATGATGGAATAGAGAGGATTGCGTCCCCCATATATAGCACCAGTGAACATGTTTTGCAGTTCTCGCTTTGGCCTTCCACCGTCCTTATATCCATGTATATAAAACCATGGCTTACGCTTAAATCACATTTGTTTTAACGCTTAACAATGCTGCGCCGCTTATTTATATAATACGCCTTTTGGTTGAATTTTGTTTTAGCTGCCAGTGCAATAGATTGTGTCGCTTAAAAGTTCCTACGCCAACCAATCAGTTCGCTTTTCGCTTTACTACATTGGATAACTCTGCTAACTCCTACTGCTGTATGTAAAAACGTGGTTAGTAATGATTTGGTTACAGGTGATTTACCTCTTCTGCCACGTTCTCCTTTCTTTTTCTCTCTACCTTGTTATTTTCTCTTTCTCTCCACCATCTTTCCCTCTCCTCCAGCTAACTTTCTCATTTTCCTTTTTCATTCTTTTTGCTATTTACTCGTCTCTTTTCACGCTATGTGATCACCATGAAAGTATACGTATATACATAAAAAACTTGTGTGTACGTTTACGTTCCAAATATGCGCATTACGAATAAAATGCACATATATGTATGGGAAAAACTCTGATTAATCAGCGATATATTGACTGACTCTTATTTTCATTGAATCTTATTATTATTACTACTACGTTTTTAAGGGTTACTACGTTACTACTGCGTGATATACTGTGCATAACTAAATTATATATAGGGCAGAAGAGATACATAAAGATATTAAGAAAATGAAAAGAAAGTTGAATGAAACGCAAATATAACGCAAATAATGGTATGATTATGGGGTAACAATTTGGCTGTGTTATTTGGGTAGGCTGGTCGTGGCCGTGGAGTAGTGCCACGTGGCCGAATCGGTGGCCCGCAAGTCCGTGGGCCAGTCAGGGGGGGACGCAACCCCGCAGCTTCAGGGGCCCGTGGGGTCCAGCGACTGGCCGCTCGTGGGGGGGTCCGCGCCAAGGGAAGTTTACCAGGTGAGGATGGTCTGTATCTCCACAATAAATCGTCTTTTACACTGTTTACACTGTTTAAATCTTAATTACACAGGGCGCACTCACTCACCACACTCATCACATATACAACACACATATTACACACAACATACATAAGAGCGCACATACTTTATCATCATGAATCATTAAGATACATTTGTGAGTTTGTATCACTTACTGTTGTATTTGTTGTCTCTCACTCATCGTGTAAAAATTCTGTTAATGATGGAATTATTAAGATATTGTTTTTGAAGACTTAAAAAATACATGATCACACTGATTATTTGGTATTAATTATTTAAATATAAGAGGGAGAGAGAGAAAAAGAGAGAGAAAGAGAAAAAGAGAGGTTCAGGACTTTGTGTTGTTTCATTAATTCAATTCGATTTTGTGGAATTAATATATAGGATATTATTTATAATTTTGAAACGTCTAATATAGTTTTTAGACGTAACTTTTAATTACAGTATAAGCTGATAATATTGCTTGGCTATTTTAGCGCTAATTATTATCTTAAAATATTTCGCCGTGATATCTCACCGCGAGTTCTCGCAAATGTTAAGTCTTCACAACTACATTGCTATTATAATAATAATTGCAATTTTATACAAATTTTCGCGTCATATAATATTCCATATAAATCTTTTTAACTGCTATAAATAGTATTCTCGCTACAAAGCTCTTGTTAGATATTCGCTTTTGCTTTTTAGTAAATTTTTTATCTTTGCTCTCGATGCTATTCCATAATAATGCAATATTCGAATAAAATTACATTCTGGACAATTTTTTTTCATTGAAGATAGCAATTTCTTCCAATATACATTGGTTTGTTTCAATACACATCGATCTTTCCTGTATTTATATACAAAAATATATTTTGACGTTAATGCGTATAAATATAATATACCCTGATATGTTTGTAGAACGTTTATCTCCTCATTTCCAAAATGCAAATGCAACCATCATAATTAATTGTTCTAAAGATAATGAACACATATTTAATTTAGAATAGAATCTCTTTTTATTTAACGAACTTAAATTTACAGAGTTTATTATTAAATTTTATATTATTTGAAGAGATATTTAATTATATTTTGATTCTTTTTTTACAGATTTGCTAATGATATTTTCAGACAGCCTGAGGTTTTCAAAATGCATACATAATAATTAGTTTGTTAAATGATCGCATGTACATCTGTTACGAATTGTTTATGTAATGTTCATCTTACAGTAAATCTCTCAAATCCACCTTCCTACCAAGGTATCCAAGTCCCATCCACTTGATAGTAATAAAACAGTAAGTTAGTGACTCTCTTTATGCTTATATCACCTATTAATTGAAAGGCCTATAATTTTTCCAATTTTGTAAAGTCAATAGAATCAATCAAATCGATTAACTTTTTTTTTATAAGCCTACTATCCCACGCGTTTATCACAGTATATGTCCATACATATAAACGTACATTTTACAAACACATTACATGTATTAACACAAGAACTCTCGAGACTTTCCTTCACCTTTTTTATGTAATACTTTGCAAGCGTCACGCACAATGGTAAAAAGAGTGCTCCTTAATTTAATATTAATGTCTTTGATTTTTTTTACACGATTATCGATTTTGTCATCTTGATAATGTTTTTTACAGCAGGTAAACGAAAATTTGACGGGGGTCACCAGAACCAGGGGGAATCTAAGCGTCGCTTCCAGAGCAATTGGGGAAACCAGCCCCTCGCCCAACAACCACTGGGCAATGCATATGGATTGGCGAGTGTAAATGGTGGCAGTGGTGGTGGTGGCGGTGACATAGCTTTTGGAGGTAGAGCCGGCACACTCGGCGGTGTTTCCGGCGACGATCACGAATGGTATCAAGACTCTTATCAGTCGTGGAGCTAACTTCTGCAATCCTGTGAGTGATGAAAAAATACGCACGAACAAATGCATGATAAATGAAGTGAGAAACAGAAAACATAAAATAAGGGGAAAAATAAGATAAGATCAGACTGCTACTATGAAACATAGAAAGAGAGGGGGGAGAGAGAGAGAGAAAGGAGGAGAGATGGGAAGGGGGAAACAAGATGAAGGGAAGGAAAGAGATCATCCATTTGTATTATTATCGCTCTTAATCGAATTCAAATAATTGTAAATGTTTTTCATATTAATGATACGCAGCAACTGTGTTCTGCGCCACCACCATCGCCCGCTGTTGTTGTGATTATGTACAGTGATGTGCCACTGAGACTAATTATTATATCGGAGTGTGACCACCCACCCACCCCGTACTATTATTATTATTATTATTATTATGATAATACTAATCTAAGTACCACTACTGCATTGTCACATTGTTTACTGCCAAGTGATGAAGATCAGCGATGTTGACATAGGGATTGTGATGGCTTGTTTAGTTAAGAGAACTCATGGAAGCCTGCGGTTTATTACGCGATGACTAGATGTTTTGAATCTATGTGACGAAGCATGTGTGTTAGATAGGTCGAAGAACGAAATAAATAACGTGGGAGAAAAACAGAAAAAAGTTACAAACGAAAGATAGAAATTGAAGAGATGGAAGTCCAACTTTGAGAAAGCAGAAATAGGCGTGTAGACAAGCAGAAGGCGCAGGGCGAGAATGCGATATTTAGTGAATATGCGAGAGAGAGAGAGAGAGAGAGAGA